ATTTTATTTGTAACTTCAATTTTGCCCTTTTTCTAGTGGGTGTGGTTTCTGTAAGGTTGAATCTTAACCGCTCCAATTAAGGCGCAACCCCAAATTTTATCATGTCATATAAAAAATGTTAAGATTATTTTAAAATTTATTTTTATATTTAATTATAAAATTTTAAATTTAAAAAATAGTTAACATCAAAGAGATCTATAAATATACGAAAATCTTGAAAGTGAACTGCCAAGATAAATGTTGCAAGAAGCATTATTTTTAGGGGCTCAATTTTTTTTTCTTTTTTTTTTCCTCATACTTATACATCTCGATGTCGAGATATCAATTAGAGGGTTTTTCAACATTAAAACAATCATTTCCGATGGATTTTTGAGATGCATATTTAATTCTACATTTTTAGGTTTCAACCTTATATAAACTAAGTTTTTCTTTTTCTAATTCTATTTAATCTCTCTCTAATTGCCATTGGTTTGGTTTTGAGGTGGGAAAAGCAAACATGTGGTGAAATAAGATTCCCCAACCATGGAACATATTTTCTTGTTTTTTTTGACAATTAATCCACCCATAGAACATCTTTCACCCAAAAACCAATCACATATTTCATTTTCGCTAAATAACAAAGACGCTAATCTAATTTAATGTTTCCTCCTCTCTATAATATGGCTAAATGCCTCTTCTTTTTCATGGTGCCTCCCTTCATCTAAATTCAGCTTTCTATACTCTGGAATATGGGAAAAGTCTCTCTCTCAATGCTTCTTATTGTTACTCATGGCCTCTTCTTTTTGCTCTCTCTCTCTCATTGTGACTTTTTTTCCTGATAATTAATAAATAAAAAAATATTGGAAAAGGTTGTCTCTCTGCGTTCTGGATATTGGGGTGTTTGATGTTTAGAAAATGAGGTATTTATGGTAGAGACAATTATTTGGACATAAAAGTTCGTAGGTTACACCTTTTGTCTCTCTTTCTTTTCTTTCCAATTTTTTAATCTCTCTCCAGTGATAGTGATGGATTGTGGGGAAAAGAGGAGAAGTGAGTGACTCTATATTTCATGAGGTGGGACCTAAGGCTTAGAGCTCAATCAAGGATTTATTATGACCTACTAAAAGCCAAACACTAGGGCAGCCTTCTTGGTCTTTCATAGCAGCCTTACCAACCTCTCTCTTTAGGATTGAGACCCCAAACATAGGAATATATTATAAAAATCTTAAACAATAACCCTTTCAGATCACATTGATTTGCATTTAAGCTTATTTACAATTTGGTCTACACTTATTCACGAATATGCTGTATATCAAGACATGATCAGATCTGTTTTTCACTTTTGGTGATTCCATAATCTTTCTTTTTTTTCTTTAGTCTTATTTTCACGTCAGCAACCAGCAAATTCAAGTTACACATAAAGGTTTTATCTATATATTTAACTAAATTTCACTGATAATTTTATATGTGATTAAGAAATGAGCCATAAACTCTTTTGAATATGACCACATTGCTTGGTCTAACCTTCCTTATTAGACCAAGCAGACTAATCCCCTAAAAATTTGAATCTCCCTCCCTCTCTCTCTCTCTCTCTCTTAGACATGCACAGCTCTACATTTGTATTTTTATCAGTGATACACAATGGCTACCCTAGTGATTGACCATTTTAGAACTTCGACACCCCCGATTTATTTAGTATGGACTCCCTAAAAATTCCTACTTGGGAGATTTAATGGAGGCGTGCACATCGATGGATTACCTATTTAATTGCTTTTCCAAAAAAATGCTTAGTTTGAAATTTTAAGGGAATCAAATTCATTTCGTGTGACGTCACCGATTTCGTATCATCAATGAAAAGACATGCCTATCACCTAAATCTGAAAGGAAATTAATTAATTTATTCTATTATCATCTTTCTCTCTCTCTCTAGTGGGGTGCATTTAGAATGGGCTGAACAGCTCTACAAATTTAGCACTGCTAAGTAAAAAGCATGCTTATCTTCTGAATTTTAATTGAAACAATGCGCTTCACAGTTCATAGAATAGTTCTCCATTTCTGCTATTGTTTTTTCAAACAAGAGAATATCCTCTGTTCTTTTGATTTTGGTGGGGTTGGGCAAACAGTGGTTAGTAGTTCCATGCCACCATCAAATCCTACAACATAATGTACACTTATGAGACATATTGCATTTCTAAAATGCAATATGAAGCTCTAATGGATTATGATTTGGTTTGCAATATAGTGCAGGCTCATGCAATATATCGCATTTCCCAATGCAATATAAGATTCCTAATTAAATTGGGTTCTAAATAATTATGATTTGCTTTGCACAAGGTAGATGCATTGCATTTGCAAATGGATTATGCGGATGTAATGAATTGCTATTTGCTTTGCACAAGGTCCACCTTCTATTGGTATTGTCCTCTTAAAAAATGCACTCCACCACATCATTCTAAAGGAATTCAATTCACCAAAATTTTATTCCTCTTTCTTCCAATAAGATTCTGATTCGTGATCAAGCATGTTGAGGATTTAATTCGCTCCAAGGAATATATACATGTACCTGTTTCTTACTTAAACATGTTCACGGGTTCACTTTTGGTTCAATATGTGTGCAAAACATGCACCTCATATGAAGAAATTGACCGATATTGAGCTCTTTTTACTATGTGATTTTTTTTCTTGTCATCAATTTGAATGGGAAGAAAGTAAAAAGATTACATTTACAAATGAACTGTAGCTTCATCATCATCAACGGCCAAGACTTATCCCAACTCATTTGGGATCGGCTACATGTATCCACATGTATCCAGTTCTACCGTATAAATTCAGGATTCATGAAAATATGAGGCGAAGTTTTATGGTGATTGCCTCCCTAACACAATCCTCATTTTTTACTTGGGCTTGGGACCGACATTTACAAATGAAAAGCCTTTTGAGGATGGCATGCACAACGGTCCAGTACCTATTCTATCATTTTTATAACATAACCTATAAACGTTCATAAACAACCTAAACACATGAAATATCAAGAAAATACCTAGACCCGTCAATTTTACAATATGATTATTATACTTAACCTGGTGTGCAACAAAGTGGGGGAAAATTTGAAATCAAAGTGTAAAATAGTCACTCTTAAAAAGATCCGGGTACTTTCTTGATATTTCAAGCTTCTGAACCACCTGCATGGTCTGTCTGGGTGTCCTAGATATTTTCCTTACAAAGTAAAATAAATGAACCTTAGCTGCCAAAGTAATAGTTGGTACGTGACCTCCTTGTAACAAACAGATAAATAATCTTATAGTATGCAATCCCTTGAATAAAACCTAACCCAAAATCCAGCATTCTAAATAAAATTCTTAAAATGTTAGTACACTGAACTTCTCTCTCATTTTCCCTTGATTCAGTTGTCATACAAACTCCATTGAATTTCGCCAAAATGTAAAATTCAATGGCCGAGATTTAGGAGCTATTTTGAAACTATTGTGCATTGGTAGAAGACAATCTATAGAAATATTCCATAATTAGGAATGAAGTGTTAGTTTGGAGGATCTTCAAATTATTGATAAGACCGGCATGCCGAGTTGTTCATTGTACAATGAACATTGTAAAATGAAGTTTCAAGTTAAAAACACCCCCCTACACCCCATATAGATGCATAAAAGGATTCTGCACAAAAATTTAATAAGCAATGAATTACATATTAATACAAAAAATAGCAAAATTACAAATGACATGCTTCCAAGATTCAAAAGAGATCCTAAATTTACATGAAAGCAGCTAGTTCACACCAAGAAAGAATAGCATTTTAGAAAAGAACAGCAGATATGAGAGAGAGAGAGAGAGAGAGAGAGAGAGAGAGAGAGAGAGCAACTAGAACTTCAACTAGAGCTTCTTCCACAGAGAACCCTTTGAAGAGAGGCATTTGACTCTGCCGAAAACAAATCCTGGTTTGGGAGGGTTCCCATTTACAAAAGAATTCTCATATGTCTCCCTACACTCTTCCACAACCTGCACATCCATCAGATAAAACGAAATCCATTAATCCCATGCCTTTATTAAGGCCACATAAAAGTAATTATCCTACAAAATACCAAAAATATAAGTATTCGACTCTAAGATTCGACTCTAAGACAAAACCAATTTTGAACCTCAGTTACCAAATAAAACACTATCGGAAAAATAATCATCTGACAAGTGGATGAATAATTCCTCACCTCCCTTGCATCCTTTCGGGGTATGCCTTCCCTCATTCCAACAATCTTTTCAACGACTTCAGGCTGTAAATACAAATGATATATCACAAAAAAACTCTTCTTTTTAAGGAAAACAATGCCGATAATTAAAATATTCATTCACTAGAACTACTTACTGGGCAGTCAGGGTGATTTTGGAGAATATTAGTAGATACAAGAGTGAAGGAATCCAGACTCACAGCTGAAGCTAACTCACGTAGATCAGACAAAATCTGCACTCTCTTCTCTCTCTCTCTCTCTCTCTCTCTGTCAGAGCATGCATTTACCACTCACCTCAGTCCCTCCCAAACCATTATAGGCCCAAAAAATAAATTACCAATTCATTTTGCAAATCCTTTGGCATAAAAAGCAGCCCTAGGAAGTTGCTAGAGGTCCATTATTCAAGGACATGGTGCGTCTCCTGAACTTTAACACTGGTAGCAGTAGAGCAATGACATTGCAGTTGGTGAATTACTCAGGATGAAAATTCATGCCAGTATGAAATTTTGACAATACATTGTTCGCAAATCAAAAGCCAAATTGGTGTTTACAAGTAATATTTTCCAAATTTATAAATTACATAAGACTTTCACAAGGTATGCTCTTCATACTGATACACAGCAGGCATCCTCCAAACTATTATGAGATTTTGTTAAATTGCATACTTTGCACCATTGCGAGAATACAAATGGAGAAGAGATGACAAGAATACTCCATTAAGGGAAGGCCAAATGTAGCAATGGGGAGACAGCAGCAAAAGTAACCCACCCCATCCCACCTCTCCCGAATCTCTACTCAAATTATCCCAAGACAACCCAGCAAACCAATAGAAGCGAGATCTACCCAAAAGCAGAATCAACAAACCCAGCTAAAATCTTTGAGCAGCGGTTTCCCAGGCCTGCCTGAAAATATTACCGAAACCTCTCCCATGGCCCAAAACCCCCAGCTTCTCTACCATATTCAAAGCCACAGCTCTGGATCCCTTCCGCCTAAAGCCAACGTAAGAGACCCTAGACCACAATCTGAACCACCTGCTCAACCCAGACCCATAAACAAACTTCCACCCTGTCCCTCGTCACTTACCATTATCCCTCAAACCTACTCTCAAAAACTTCTATAATAGATTGCAGTTTTACCATCTTCATGAGGGAGGACATCAGCTCCAAGAGAAACTCTTTACTCCGAGCCTCTCGTGTCTGCCTTCGATGCCCAAAGCATGACATCAAATGCATCATAGCTCTGTTGAACACGCCTCAAGTCTTCTGAAGATTCTTGGATGGTGAAGGTGTTCTGTTCTCCTTCCCGTCACAAGATCAACGAGCACTGTGCAAGGCTCAGCTTAAAACCATGGTCACCTTAACGAAAATATGGATCTAAATCCAGGGAATACTGCCTCATGTATGGCACCATCACATATTCAGACAGATTGGTAACATTTATGGATGCTTCCTCAAGGTGGCCTGGAATTTATTTGGCTCGCTACCAGTAGGTTCTTTTCAGATCCTGCTTGAAACGGCAAACCTGGCCACCATACCCAAGTTCATCAATCCAAACATTGCCCACACATGGTGCCCAACCCAAATTAATAATGAGAGAGGCAACTTAGATTGCCATGGTGGAACATCAATCCAAACACAGCCAACTCCACAAACTTCGGCACTGGGTCAGGGTGATAACCTGGACCGTGAACATGAAGGCTGGCAGACCATAGTCTGCTATAAGAAAAATCACCATCTTCCTTAAAACAGCCGAAGCACCAATGCACTTCTATAAAGTGTCTAAAATGAGGTACCTTCATAAGCAAGTTCACAACATCAACATCCATTGCTTCATTTACACAATACCCTCAATTTCCATAAAACAAGTCAACAGAATTCCTTTGATACTAGAACTTTCTAACATTAAAAGTACACACATCCTTAAGAAATAAACAAATAAAAGTATGCAGAAATAAACAAATGAAAGTATGCATACCGTTCTAGCTTCCTCCGAAGCAGCTTCAGGATCCTCAAAGACAAGCTGCAGGCACATTTAAGAGCAATTAAAAGTAATCAAAGATGGCAAAGTGGGCGTTTATCAGTGAATAAAAAGTAATTAAAAAGAACTAGCCTGTTCATATCCAACCAATTCCTGTGATAATAGCTTATTGAACCGCTCTTCAACCGTTTTTGTGAGATGTTCTTAACACTTATCCTTGTAACACGTCCCCTTTTCCTGAGCTAGGCTTTTCGGTGAAGCTGATGGAACTGCAAATTTTCTGCAAAAGGTATAAAGATCATTTACAAACATATGCAATAATATTGCTACCTGATTTAGTTCAAAAGCTAAGTTCTTCTAGCAAAATACAACTGTGACCGAAATGCTGTGCATCATCACATGTCATGTGGGTAAACAAACATGTCAAGCAAGCACAACAGGTGCACAATAAATGATTATTGTAAGAATTGATATAAAGAGATCAAGATGTTACAGAAAAAGCAACCAACAACGTTCTAATCATGGTAAGAACTGATATAAAGAGATCAAGGTGTTACAGAAAAAGCAACCAACAACATTCTAATCATAATCATCATGTGAGCAGGACAAAAGGCGTCACACGCTATTACAAAAACACCATTAAAAAGAGGTCACACATAATTACAAAAACACCATTAAAATTATATAAGAATCTTTGCTAGAGAGATTATGAAACCATGTCCTATGAAGTGGCCAGAATATCCAATCTCTAAAGTTGCTTACAAGTCAATTCTCATACGTCTTACATTTTACAGTTACAGGATTGAGTTATTTCAAACATAATAGAATTTTCCATGATTGAAGGATCTTGTACAAGATGCCATGCTAACTTCTAGTATCTCAAAACCTGAATTCCATCTGGACCACTTCTAGTATCGCAAAACCTGAATTCCATCTGGAACTGAAATTTAATTTACATGTCATGTTCACATGCGGAAACAATAGGTTTCTTTCAAAAAGTAGATTTATCCAATGTTTCACTACTCAGCCCGAGTAATTGCAGGGTGCCATGCCTGGGTTCCCCCAAACTTGGGAGTATATAGAAGTCAGCTAAAAATATTTATAATAATTATAGTTGATGTAATATTGGATTAAATCAATTATAATTGACTTATTATTATTATTTAAGTATTTTTATGGTTTCCTATTTTTAATATTTTTTTATTTTTCCTTTTTCTAATTTATTTTAAAAAAATATGATATTTAACCAGTTTTTTATCTTTAGTTTTGAAAGCCTTTTTCTCATCCTATATATACTCTTTCTATTGTTTATCCTTTTCTTTATTTTTCCCTACTTTTAAAAAAATTTCAGGATTTTTTACAATTTTTTATTATTTTGATCTTTCCCAACTAGATGCGTACTCAGAAGAGCCAACCCAGACTAAATTCAGTAACTCGGCTGGTTAAGTGCCCGATTTCTCGGGACGAGCTGAGTTCTAAAACCTTGGATTTACTTAAACAAATATAAATATATGCACACTTTCAACGTTTGCTTCTGTTGTCTAGAGGTATCAATCTCTTTATTCAGTTCCTTAACTGCAAATCTGAATCTTCTGCCTTTCAATCATGAAAAACGGGAATGAATAATATATATGGATAAATAATATTACATCCTTGCATAGTCTTTAACATATAAATTATTTAGACATACTTTAAGTTAGAATGCATACATGCATACATCTGTCAACTCATATATGCATATATATATATACAAACACATAATAAAGAAGTACGTTGACACATGTATCCAACAGAACTTTACAAGCAATAGGCATCTCAAAACTTGAACCTCTTGAAGGCTGCAGCTGATTTCCTCTCTAATTGCCCCAATTCTACTTCAAGCAACTAAGAATGATACTAATAAAATGTTTAACCAGTTAGTCGCTCATGAATTTGTACACTTAATTACCAAGACAACCCTGTATTAAACATAATCAAATGACAGAAACCACTATTTGTCATCACATCAATAAGGATAGAAATAACGTAGAAAAATGAATATTTACATCAAAATAATCACTTGCCAAAGATTCTTGTCTAGCATAGAAGTTATTTAACTCAGGCACATACTTTGCAGATCTTCGACGATTTGCAATTGACGCCATTGCTTCACCTCCCTCAGCTTCAGCTGCTTCCTCAGCTAGCTGCTGATCAAGAATCTCTTGCATTTCAACCACCCTGGGTCAAGGAAACTAATAGTATCATCAACATCACAAAGAATGAGGTCATGATAGGAACTTGAACTGGAAACAAGTGAAAAGCACGACAGTCACTGATGACCTTTGGATCGTCAAAACATTATTCAACAACAATATCATTCAAACATGTTAAAACATAAATATGCCTTAGCAAAAAAAAATTTAAATGAATGTGATTTTTTTCCCTCAATAAGCAATCAAGTATATGCATTAAAAGTTTAAAAATAAGTTATAATATTGTGAGAAAAATATTGTACAAAATACAAATAAAATAAAAGAATATAGGTCTTGGATGGTACATAATCAAGCTCAAACATAGAAAAGCAGAAAATGTGCTGGACCAGGTTTAGTGATGCCAAATTTTAGCAATATTTGCTGAATCATCAACCAATACGGATTCTACAGTAGGCTGGGGCTCAATGAAAACCTCAAAGACTAGGTGATGTATTACATGGTTCTCAAGAATGTCTACTTTCATATTATCATTCCTATACTACAGGGTTGAGACTTGAAACCTCAGAGTCAAATCTCATTGCTAACAGCTTGTTCAAAGATGTGAACTGCTTCCTTGGCATCCTTGATACATTATATTATGAAAACAGTGCAACGTTTGTTGTATGGAGACTTCAGTGTTCCATTTCAAATGGCCATCCAACTACAACAATGTCGTTTGAAGCACTGACTGACCACCATTGACTGGTCTGTAATCATATTCCAGGCAATGGTGGCAGAATGTGTTTAGTTTTGTATTCGTGTGTAACACGGTTGTTTATAGGCAGCTTCAAGACATGTATATAGGTACCTTCACTGATATGTTAATGGTTTTTCTCCTGAGGCTTACTCTGCTTTTTCTTGTTTTCAGTGGCACATTCCTCAAATACCTAACATTGACACTTTTTATGTCATGGTAAACTTGTCAACATAAAACACGAATTAAAAAAAACATGCATAAATTAGAGGAACAGAAACAGGTGTCATGGAACTTCAGAATTTAGACCACTGTTGATGCTAAAAGCAGTATTCTACTTTATTTGCAATCACATATAGTTATGAAAGCTATTATTATCGCCAATCCATTGTAGACTATTTGATACTAATAATGAACAAGGTTTAACATGATTTTCAAAAATCAGAACATGAAAAACTGCTTTAATTAAAATGAGATAACAGTTGATATGTGAAGCTGCCAAATCATATGAGAAATATTGAGGATCTCAAGTTAGAAGAATTCTTCTCAGGGCATACCTTAGCGCACCAACAATTGAGGGCTGCAAAAACAGCAAGAAAATAAACCATTCATTAATGTAAAGCACATCAACACAAAAGCAATCAATGAAATATAAATACGTCTGTAGAAGAAAATGATAACAAAATAAAATTGGTTCAGATCATATACTCAATTATTCGTTAACAAAGAAATGGAACATTCTCAAAATAATATGACAATGAAGAGCAACACAAGCTTTAAATCTATGCAAGAAATATGATATGCAAATAACACACCAATTAAATCATTCTCTTTTTTTATGAATAACACCGATTTAATCAATGTCTAAGCAAAAACAGAAGATAGACAGCTGATACATTTCCAAAATATGGTCCATATACCAAAAGGCAGACAGAAATCAATTTATATAATGTCCACCTTTGAAGAAAAGTTACAGACTGAATAACTGCTTTGCTGGAGAAGCAGCAAACACCAAGAGCATGGAGAGATAAGGAGGAGGAGAGAAGATGAATAACACTATGTTTTATCATGCACCATGTTTTCCCATGTCTTTCTAGCTTGAGACTTTATATAATTCCTTGGCAGTTAAACTTTTCCCAATCGACTTACAAGGGGAAAAAAAAAACTCAAGAAGAATTCCTCAGAGAGCAAGCAACTAATAAACTTAAAACTCGTGCACTACTAGGAAATAATGGTCTAAAACCTTGTGCTGGGATTCTAAAACCAATTTAAATAAGCATGAAAGAACTTCGATAAACAAGCTGAGCAACAAATATGCGTAGATATATCCATTTTCAAAAAAGTACGCATAGATATATCTCAGTGAACTTCATGAAACAGCCAAATACAATGAGAACAAAGAAACAATTAATGTATGAAGCTTCCCGTACCTTTCTTTAGCAAGTTTAAAGAAGTTGGCAATATGACCCCATATAGTCTTTTCGACTGTTTCCCATGTTCGATCCACATCTTCAAAACGTTCCTGAAGAAAATTTCATATACAGATGATACGTTGTGCATAATATGCATACATGTTTCCAACAGTAAGTGTAAATGACGATAGCATCACCACATGAAACAATTAGCTAACTAATGATTGACAAGACCATAACCAACCAATCAAAACTTTAGATAAAGCCGTTACCAGAGATGACATAGCACTATGAAGATTTTGCTTCTACAGTGGCATAATAACAATTTCCAATTCCTTTCTTTATCCAATCAGAAGGTAATTTTTCTAGCAGTTCATTCATAGAATATCCCTGTAACAACATCTGCGAGACAAAAGCGAGCATAAGTATTTTTGCTCGAGAGGTTAATGCCACAAGAGATCATCAATATCCCAACTCTTTCAAAATAAGCATCTAGATAGCCCTTGCAGTATAGAAATGAGGACTATTTGGAGAAAAAATAAAATTGTCCTATCAAAACAGTGATCAGAAGAAACTACAATGAAGAATACGTGAGTTAGGTTATCTTCTGCAACATTCCGGAAAAGTAATCACTAGAAATTCAAAATTCGATACAGAATTTTAGGAGGATAACCTGCTGAAAAACAATTTGGCATAGAATTTGGAGGATTGGAATGCAAACAAGGGTCTGTTTGGCAAGAAGCATTGAAATCCTGAAAATTGTAAGAAACTTCTAATTGGATAATGATCAGCAAAGAGTTACTAGAGCCAAGTATGGGCTGTTGGGGATGGGAAGGAGGCAAGGAAGTAGATAGGTCATCTAAAGTTCCTAAGGCATCGCTATGTGTAAGTCATATAGGGTTAGTCTTCCAATGGGATATAGAACTAGGATGAGTGGCTGTTTCAGAGAGTGGTTTGGGTGGATTTTCAGGCATTTAGGACCAGTATTTCAATTTGGACAAAGCAGTGCATGATCCAGATATCAGAGTGGAAGATTATTACGGATCAAAATGGGAGGGTGTTGTGGACTTCAAGGTTTAGCAGGGATCTTCGGGCTGCAGAGGCCTCAGTGTAGGTAAGGTGTTTTTAAAAATGTTCCAACGAGTCCATACACAGTTAAGAATGGAACACGGTTCCTTCTAAAAATTCAATCATATCATAGTTAAAAATGGACTTGGTCCAGGATTCTATCATTCCAACCAGCATCCACTCTTGGCTGTTCACTGCAATTGACAATAAGTTGCCCGAGGATCATCTTCAGCATCGGCCCCATGTACCAAACTCTTATACATGTGCCGAGTTGTGACAAAGAAAATATATTGTCATAGAGCATGTTAATAAGGAGGATTCAGTGCTACTTTGGTCCTCTTTGAGATGCCCTAGTGATGCTAACATTTTTTTTTGTTTGACAAGGTTACATAGGAATGGAACTTGAGACGTTGGGCTATGAAAACCGAGCCTTTACCGTCTTGACCTGATGGCCAGTTGATTATCTAGCTCATTCCAGGAGAAGAGACACACACTCTAGAGGATGTGCATGTTAGCCATGCTATGCAGATTATGGAGACAAAGAGGAACTGAAGAATTTTTGGCAATTTAATCAGGTTGGGAGGTGCTTTCTAAATTGTATTAGGGTTTATCACCAAAAACACCATGATTCCAAGAATTCTACAGCCACGTGATCAAGATGGTTCACAATTAAAGAAAGAAGCAGGATTGTAAAAGTGTAACTTTGATGGGGGAACCATGGGCTTTCTAGGTTAGTAGCATCATTAGGGCTATGATCATAAGGTCTTCAAGGTCTTTGCTTGACCGCCATCTGGTGATTCAATGGAGGCAAAGGCAAGACCTCCTGTTACCTTACAGTATTTCGTCAGCATTTCTCGAGCTGTTCGATCACCGAGTCACTCATCAGAAGGGGTGATGGGATAATATTTAGTCTCGAAGATTAACATATACTCAATGACATTATTGAGCAAAGTGACATGTTAGAACTTTTCATGTGTTCTTGAGGAGAGGTAAATGAGGTTATAAAATCCTTGGAGAAGGAGGGAATCACGTCCACAGGGAAATTGTAAATATAACCAATTGTAAATATAACTACAGAAAATAACACTAGTCAACTGGCACATTATTAAGCTGCAAATGAAATTTCCAAAAACCAAAAAAATGATATTAAAAAAAAAAAAAGCATTTGTCACTTCACCATGGCCGAAACACAGGCATGGCTTGAGGAAGACAAAATTGCAACTAGGAAAGCAAGAATCCCACTGATAGTAGAAGAGATGAACCATATGTGATTCATTGAATTAGTAATGAAGCAGCAGTGAGTTGGAAGTTAGCCACTTGTGAGTGAAGTTAGGGAATTATGCGACTTTGGCTTCTCACAAGTTTGGTTCCACTATGTGCCTCAGAGTGCTAATGAGGTGGAAGATGCCTTCGCTAAGATGGCATGGGGTGCTGCTCTATTCCATTTCCTTTTATCACCCCTTAGTTGTATTGTCATCTTGACATCTACTACTCCTGTGTTTCATTATTTACAAAATCTGACATCATTTCAACATAATAAGCGACATTTAGTTATTTACGAAAGTGGGACAAAGGCTCATTTTTTAAATGCACTAGCTATGAACCCTACAAGAAATTATGGGAATAGCAAGCAGAAAGGAAATCAGAACAATCCATTTAAAAATTTTAGTATTTTTATGAAACATACCAAACAACCAAAAAACAAACACTGGACAAAGTCATTGCCATTTTGTTCAAGCCTGAAATTAGGAAAAATTGAATTGTACTAAACTCTAGTGCACAACTAGTACCATAAGGAGACATGAAAAGCTTTCTCATTCACATTCTAATCCCATTATAGATAGAGAAGAAAGCAATCCAAGTAGCTAATAAACGTGTCAAATAAACATACAAGAAGCAGGTGGATTTATTTCAGAATATATCACATTAAGTAAACAAACTACCACAGCAAACTACCAAAATAAAATACTAATACAAGGAGCCTCTTTGATTGAAAGTGCCATATCTATGGCTGAAAGATTTTGCTTTAAAACCTCTGGAGGAAATTTAAAATAATACAAAATGGATGGTGAGGGCTGTGCAACTGCAAACCTTAGCCTGCCAACTTCTTCCTTGTGAGATGATGCTGCAGCTAATGCAAACCTCCGCTTACCATCAAGTGCAATCAACTTCTTTCAGAATATTAAGCGCGAAGTATAAGTCAGAAATATGTTTCAGCAGCATGCAAACAATAACTGTAAACTCAGTAAAAACAAAAAAACATGACTTCAATTCCGTGAGTCGACATCTTCAGAGCCCTTTCCCAACTATTAGGGATCAGCTACATGAATCCTGGTCTGCCCTCAGTGAGGACATCAATTCCGTGAGTGATACAGTAAAAAGAAAATGAGCACCGAGAATACCTCAAATGTGTGAATGAGCTCTTTATCGTCATTCAAAGATTCTCTTGCTTCAGCAGCTTCAACAGATATTGACATCATCCCCTACATCCTATAAAAAAGTGAGTGGGTGATGGACAGATTAACAACCCATAATAACTAGGAACAACATCAGAACAGTGCCTAAAACCCGTCCATAAATCATGCAGGTGACCCCCAAACATGAAATTTCAAAAAACTATTTCATGCTGGCCTATTTAACAAATTTTTTATTTAAAAACACTTCTGTTTGGTATGCGAACCACCTGACTGAGGACAAAATAGTCTTTTAGGAAAAAGGACTGCTAGAGGTCCTGCTCTGAGATTCCAACTTTCAGTAGTCACATTCATGATTTATGCACAATGATCTTTTTTTTTCTTCAGATAAGTTAATTTAGGCAGGATTTCCAAGCATTGTTGTTACAGCAGAATATTGTTACTTTCATGGTCAACTCCAAAACTACTGCATAAGAGACCATTCATCATTACAACTATATGGTGCTGTTAATATCAACAATAAACAAAAATGTTTCAAGAGGGGTTTTTAACAGGAAGTGTCCAGAATAAAATATCCAAAAAAGTCGAGAAACCACCTTTAGTGTGTTCAAGTTGTTCCTTGCATTGCTGAGGAGCTTTATGTGATCATGGTTATCAATTAGTGTTTGACACTCTTGACATAACCTGCAGCACAAAAACAACAGTATTAAGGAAACAGCACACTGCAGAAAAACAAGTTCATTTTGTGGAGACATGAGGGGAGAGGGTGATAGGAAGTCAATTACATTTGGGTAGTAACGGATCTGAAACCAGAACTGAGAATAATGCATAATGTATGCAATAAGACAAGAAATGGAAATAAATCAGCACTGTATGTGAACTTGAGCTTATAACGAACTTGTCAATGGACAAAAAAATTTCACGGAGCTGATTTATTGTCTTCTGTGATAAGGAAAAGGCATCTATCCCAGCTTGCGCTTGCTCATCCTGAAAGCATGGCATAACTAAGCGAGCATAAGCTGATATTTTAGGTCAGAAAGACTCAGAACAAAGTTTTTTGCAATTAATTCCTACAACAGATGTTTAGAAAGTGCCTTAAATATGTAATGAAGCAGATCCATGTAGGGTTACAGAGGGAAACCTACGTATTAGATAAGTTACGGGAAGAAGCAATACCTGATCTGCAACAATGGTGCTGAGTTGTGCATCATTTGCCAGAGAGAAATGATAAAGAACTTGATTTAGAATACATATAGGATCTGAAAAAGAGGCTCAGAATCCACTAATATAGAAATTAATTTTATAAAATTTCCTTGAAATCACTAGTACAAGAATACTCTATACATGGGAGAGGTTCAACACACAGTGAAATGCCATGTAAATATCTAAACTGGAATTGGACAAATGCCACCATACACAAACACATTGATAATATTGTGAACCCCTCATCACCCTTTAAGCCATATCATACTATAACTGTCATTTCATTAATTCATTTATGTAGGAGTAACCCAAACATACAACTGAAATTAGCCTAAACAAAATCACCTCATCCACGAAACAAATAATCGAATTGTTCCAAATTGGAAACAGAAAATTGTTTGTCACGATTTCCAATCTGAATGATTGAATATAGATATGGAAGCAATTCTAATAATCCATCTTCTCTCTGTGTTCTGCTTCCAAAGTTGAATAGGACTCATGTTAAATTCCTTCTTCAACACGAGTACATAATTAATCAGATGACATTCTCAGTGCAATCCATATTCTGGCAAGTGAAGGAAATTCCATACCTGATAACGAAGGACATAATCTGCTTTTATAGAAGCAATCGAAGAAAAAAGTTCAGGAAGAGGCAATAACTTTGCCACTTCACGTACATCAGCTTCTTTCGCTTCTATGCCTAGATCTTCCATCATAATGTCACCTGATTGCTGTATATTTCAAAGCATTAGCATTTTAATGTGATATATCTTGCATGCATAAGCAAAATAACAATTTGATATAACAAATATGCAATAAAAAAAGATTTAGATGAGCATGACACTCCAGTTTGATTAGTGACCATGGAATCTTTAAATTAAGCTGATAAACTTAGAATAATCTTCAGTAGAAAATGAAAAGAATTGGCATTGAAGTTTCTAAGAAAATTCATGATAAATTCAAATTTATGAGAAATTTCATGATATACTCAGTGAACACCATGATACACAAATTTCACCAGCGATTGAGGCTTATGTATGGGACTGATACAGATCAACAATAAAAAAGAAAGGAAATAAACTGCGGAAAATATTTGGTCACATGCTATTCTACCTATTGGAAAAGTCATGTCTAACTAAGGAACAAGAGCGTATGAAAACTTTAGGGAACTGAATTTCCTCCCTAACATTTTTAGATAAGGGATTGTATACAATGAGACTATTTACCTTTTGTATAGAAAGGTCACAATTAGTTACAACCATTTGACATGAAATTTGATAGCCTGGGTGTATCACAAAGTTCGAGAAAATTTCTTTTGAACTTTGAGCTAGGTCAGTGAAATAAATGCAGCCACCCAATTTTACATCAATGGTCAAGATCGATTGTGATTGGTCTCATTATATACTTTCCCTTTAGGATAAGGTATTGGTCAAGAGAAGGCAAAAAGATGATCAAGATCAAACTGCTAGTTCATCATCAGTATCATCAAACTGCTGGTTATTAAACAAAAACGCTTTCACCCGTCTTTAAATAACAACAGAGGTAGAAGTTTTTCGATATTCTGACAAAAAATTACACCATTTTGTTCCAGGTTATTATCTAGAGATAAAGTAAGGACTTCAGCTGACTTAACAATATAACTCCTTTTGATTGTACAGCTCAATATCATAGCAAATAAAACCCATCCATTAGGTCACAACTCAACATGGGAGATCTAATACACACAAATCATAACATTAACAAGTAATTAATTAATAAAAAATAAGATTTTGGGTTGTCCAGTTCCCATTAATTCTGGACAGGCTAAATGATTTTCTAGCATCCATGCATTTCAGAAAGGGAAGAGAGAGAGAGAGCGAGAGTGGGTGTGTAGAGAGAGAGAGAGAGAATGCGTGCATGCGTGGGCTATCAAAACAACAGCCCGATGCTTAAGCAACAAAAATTAATATGTTAAATTACACATAGAATGGATTCTAGCTGAATTTACACGATCCATGAACACATTATTGCGGAGACAAATGCATCAATCAATCAACGGAACGAAGAAAGAGACATAATAAATTTTCAGAATGGTATGGTGTTGCAGCATTACAGTTATCGAATTTCCATTGATTGTTAGGAGAACAATAACAAAAAATTAGCAGCACATGTTTCCCAGAAACAAGCTTCGAGATCTACGGATCAAATGAATTTTTATAAGGAAATACACAATAGCTTGAAATTTAACAGTAGAATTCAAAAGAGCATACCTGGAAGTGGCGCAAGCTTCTCATAAATGAGAGAGTTGAAATGGCCCCTTCGATTTCACGTACTCCCTCTTTCGCTTCGAGTCTTTGAGGCCCAGGCCCGTTGAAATAACTCGCGTGATAATGATAAGAAAAACACCCGGTTTTAGAGCGCATGGGAATTGGTCACGACGCACCCCCGGCTCATGAACGTAATGAGTCATGTTCTGACCGGGCTCCCCCCTTAAAACTAGCATCATATATTTTTACAAAATAGTTTGATATGGGTGCAGTTTGTATAGAGCCTAGGCTCTAAACAATCAAATTAGAGCCTATCTTCAAATAGTATCGAGAAATGTGGTTTCATTATTGGAAATCTTTGTGATAGCCTTAAAATATATTTTCATATTTATTTATAAAGCTCAAAGCTTAAAAAATAGCGTAGTCTATGAAAACTTGAAAATCTTGAAAATTGATGATCTAAACATGCGTTACAAAATACACTATTTTCAAAACTTGAAATTTATTTTTTTTCCATATCCATGCATCTTGATGTCGAGATGATCAATTTGAAGATATTTGGGCATAAAAAAAAAACTCTTTTAGTGAACTTTTTGAGGTAGGCTCAAATTTGATTATTTAGAGCCTATATAAACTTTTCCCAAAAGAAAATTGTTGTTATGATATTGAAAAACCTTCAAATTAATCATCTCATCTTTGATTGTGATTGTAAAAATATATTTGGATTTTAAGTTCTAAAAATAGCATATATAGGATTTCAAGTTTTAAAAATAGCATATATCGTGTGTGTATGCTATTTTTAGAACTTAAAATCCAAATATCGTGTGTATATATATATATATATATATATATATATATATATATATATAGTACTTTAATTTTTAACTTTAAGTTAAACGTAAAAACGTAAAGTACTAATATACTA